TATTTTCTAAAAAGAACATATGTTTCCTAATGACCCTATTTTATTTCCATAAAAAGATGGCAGTTGAAGTCTATCATAATTATCAACTTTTCTCTAAGTAAGGAAATGGAGAAAATACTATAATACTGTTCTTTAAAAAAAGAAATTGAGACACATTAGAATTTAATTTGTGTTTTTTATACTGAGAAAACACTTTACTATTCCCATTTTAATAATTTTTTAATCCAGTAGCTTTACAGAATGGCTATAATATTTATTTATTGATTTATTGATTAAGATAAGGTCTCATAGCCAGGTGTGGTGGTGCACACCGTTGATCCCAGCAGTTGGTAGGCAGAGGCAGTCTGGTTTACGTAGTGAGTTCCAGGCCAGCTGGGGCTACAGGGAGGCCCTGTCTCAAAAAAGAAAAAACAAACAAAAAAGATAAGGTCTCATGACTAGAGAGATGGCTCAGTGGTTAAGAGCACTGGCTACTCTTGCAGAGGACCCGGGTTCAGTTTCCCAGCACCCACATGGCCCCTAACAACTATCCTTCACGCCAGTTTCAGGGAGTCTGATGACCTCTGAGGGCATTGCACAACACAGGAGCACTTACATACATGCAGGCAGTACATTCATATACATAAAATAAAAATAGTAAATAAAGGGAGCTGGTGAGATGGTTCAGTGGTTAAGAACACTGGTTGTTCTTGCAGAAGACCCAGGTTTGAATCCCAGCACCCACATGGCAGCTAACAACTATCCAAAACTCCAGTCCCAGGGGATCGGACAGCCTCTTCTGACCACCACGGGCATTGCATGACATGGGTGCATTTACCTACATGCAGGCAATACACGCATACACATAAAATAAAAATAATAAATAAAAAAAAGTAAATAAAATATTTTTTGAAAAAACAAGGTCTCACTATGTAGGCCTGGCTGCCTGGAACTGGCTATATATATCAGGCTGACCTTGAATTCATAGAGATCTACCTACCTCTGAGTGCTGGGATTAAAGGTGTGTACCACCATTCCTAACTGAAGAAAAAAAAGTTGTTGTTTTTTTTGTTTTTTGAGACAGGGTCTCCCTGTGGCCCCAGCTGTCCTGGAACTCACTATGTAGACCAGGCTAACCTTGACCTCATAGAGATCACCTGAATCTCCCCTCTGAATACTGGGTCAAAGACATGCACCACCGTGCCAGGCTGTAAAAATAATTTTTTTTTAATTCAAAAAACTAGGCTGGGCATGGTGGCACATGCCTTTAATCCCAGCACTTGGGAGGCAGGGGCAGGTGGATCTCTGTGGGTTTGAAGCCAGCTTGGTTTCCAAAGTGAATTCTAGGCCAGCTGGGTCTATAGGGAGACCCTGTCTCAAAAAGGAAAAAAACCCAACAACCCCCCCTTTATTTGTTGATGTAGATGAGGAGGGGGTCTAAATATGATTAAGATGTATAAAAAGCAAAAAACAATAAAATATATTGAAAATTTTTTTCCAGAAATAACTTGAAGCAGTTTACATAAAAATATACAATGAAGTTTAAGGGGGGGCATTAGCCCTGTTTTTTTTTTTAAATCCTAATGAGTTTATTGGGCTTGCTAACAGAGCATAGGGTGGGGGTTTATTTAACAAGAGTGGGACCCCTCCCCATTTATGGCCATTTACAGCTGAGCTGGAAAGTCCACACTCAAATATAGATCCTGTGACTTCCCAACAGCTGCACAAAATGCTGAGAGAGGTGCCCCATGGCATTTTCCTTAAACCCTCCCACACATGTAGCTAAAATCAACTGATTGAGTGGGAGGGGTAACTGACTCCCCCATCGACCCCTTAACTAGTGTGGGCCTTTTCCTATTTTTACACTTTTTTTTTCTTTTGGTCTTTTTGAGACAGGGTCTCTCTGTACCCCCAGCTGTCCTGGAACTCACTATGTGGACCAGGCTGGTCTTGAACTCACAGAGATCTGTCTGCCTCTGCCTCCCGAGTGCTGGGATTAAAGGTGTACGCCACCATGCCCGGTTATTTTTACACATTTTAAAGGTTTTACTCTTATTTATTTATTTATTTATTTATATGTATGTGTGTATGTCTGTTCGTAAGTACAAGCCTGTGAATGAAGGTGACTACAGTGGTCAGAAGAGGGTGTTGCATCCTTTGAAACTAGAGTTGCCTGATGTGGGTGCTGGGAACCCAACTTGAGTTCTCTGAAAAAGTAGCAAGTGCTCTTAACTACTGAGTTCTTATTTTCTGAGCTGGAGAGTTGGCTCAGTGGTTAAGAGCACTACTCTTGCAGAGAACCTGGGTTCTCAGGACCCATATGGTGGCCAACAACCATCTGTAACTCCAATTCCAGGGGGTCCAAAACTTTCTTCTGACCTCCGAGGGCATTTCACAACACAGGTGCCCTTTCCCAAATGCAGGCAATACACTCATATACATAAAATAAAATAAATAAAATATTTTATATT